ATTCCACAGTCATCTGACTTCTCAGCAAAATCAATGACGGCAAATGAGTTCTTCTGAAGATAGTATGTTTTTTTCTCCATCGCTCCTTTTTTTCCTGGATATTTCTCTCTGACCTATTTTGCAGTTTATTACCTCTCTCTTAGCTGTTGCCTACTGAAGTTCATTAACTGAGTTCTTAACTTCAGTTACTATGTTTTTTTAAATTCTAAAATTTCCATTTGCTCTCCTTTGTAGCTTCTAATGCTCTGCCAAAATTCTCAAACTTCTGTGAACACACTGATTATGGATTAAAGTACATTAAAGTACTGGCATTATATAGTCATAAGTACAGATAAATAATATAGAGAGAAAGAATAGAATAGAATAGAATAATAGAAATACAGGTAAATAATAGAACCTAAGGAGAGCTATTTGAGGATTTCATATTTATCCAGAATAGAACCTGCAAATATAGTCCAGTATATTGGCTGTATCAGCAATGAATGCCACCTAGTGGCAAACTAATATAGACATACTAAGAAAAAAAAGTCCTAGAAGAGTGGTCCTTAACCTTTTATGGGTTACAGAGTCTTTGGAGAATCTAATACTACAGGTCCTTTTTGCCCAAAAGACGCATATTTACGAAGACACATAACACATACACCATTCAGGAAATTAACAGAGATCCTAAAGTCCATTTGTTGACTATTAATACTAATGGAACAAACCAACTAACTGAGAGGCCCAAGAGCTCCCCTTGAGCCTTCAGAAGGAATCCATTCACTTTTCCCTTCATCGCTTCCTCTTGGGTTAGCAGCACTATTCCTGTGTAAACAGTATCTTACTTTTCCTTTGTGGCTACATATCTGTCCTCGGCAAAGTACTAGATTTCTACCATTCTCAAATGAATTTACAAAATTTGATATTAGACCAAACTAATCATTTTCCCTGTTGATTTTCACTAAATTGAGTGTGGACCAAATAACTTTTTACTTCTAATGTTCAAAGAAGTTATGAGAATTTCCAGGACATCTACATAAAGTCATAACTTTTCACTTGTATCTAAAAATATAAATGGAATTATTGATTGATAAACTTAAAAATCAAGATAACTTTTTCATTTTAAAGGCAGATACATAGATATCTAATATTTTAGGAAATATAGTAACATTTCTAGATCACCATTTAGTTGTATAATGAGATATAATTAACTGAATGATATTTCCAAAAGAGGTAACTTCCATACTGGGAAGAATCTAATTGAGAAATTTTGTCTATGCAGGAAAAATTTTCCTGTTTCACTTTGAAGTCATGATTTCCAGTAAAGAGAACCATGATCAAGAATGAATTAATTCTCCCTCTGTTAAACTCGGTTTCTTTTTTAACTGTTTTGCTGCAAATTATTGTTAAAAGAAGGGTTATATTTCTGACCAGATCACTCTTTTAATATGGTCATTTGTTTTCTTGACTAAGGAATTATATGTATATGGAAAAGGTACCTGTCCCATCAGCACAAAAATGTATGACATGAGAATGTTAATGTCACATCTCCCTAAATGACGATTATGTAAAGGTTCATAAAGGAAAGGAGGTATAATTAGAACTTTCTAGACACAAGCACATTGCAAATATAAAACAAAAGGAATGGTGATCTGTAAGGATAAAACTGTATCAACCATCTATCACCAAGAAAATGTTGAGATTTAAAAATCTAACCATAAATTATTTCAACTAGCTTCTTAAATAATACAGATCAAATTCTTAATCCTTTAGATTCTGCTTTGCCTCTGGTTTCCTGGCTATTTTTCTCTATTCTCTATTTGCCAAAGTTCACAAATGCATGGTCTATACTCACTGATATTTTTTACTACACCTTTGCTACACTATTGGTTGCTGACTACCTTTGCTCCCGGGAGGACTACATGAGATAATTCATGTAAAGTGCTGAGCACAGAGCGTAACAGTCAATAAAGGTTAGCTAGTCTATCAGTCAGGACAGGTTGTAAGAACAAACAATCCTAAAATCTCAGTCGCTTAAAATCACAAAGTTTATTTCTCCCTTACTCTGTATATCCATCAGAGGCTAGCAAAAGGAATCTGCTCATCAAAGCCAGAGACTCAGGCTTCAGGTGAAAGACAGTACGACAAAAGCTTGAAGCTTCTGCCAGGAAGCAAAACCTACCAGTTATGCTCAGATTTCATTGGTCAAAGCAAACCATATGGCTGCAGTTCAACAGGACAAGGATGCAACATCCCCGCAGGTACAGATACCACAAACATGAGCACCAAATATGGATAAGAAACAACAGAATTGACTTCAGCTCGTATTACTCTGATGACAATGATGATGATAATGTCTGTCGTATTTATTAGCAACAGAAGTAGTTGATTTCTTGTAGTCTGACTTCCATCCCAACAAGGCAATTGAAAAATAAAAGATCAGTGACATCTTTTATTTTCCTTTTGCTTGAGCTCTCTGAAAATGTTTTTTTTTGGTAAATGTTTGTTTTTCTTCATTCTTCCTGTTACACCTAGGGAATCCTGGAAGGAATCTTGTGTCTAAACTAAATTATCAAAGAACTAAAGACAATATGGTCAAGTGGAAATGGCATATGCAGGGTCTGTCTTTATATTTCTTTTTGATATTAACATATTTATTGCTCTCCAAGGCTTTATGTACTGAATTTGCTTGCTATATTAGCCTTTTATCCATGTTTGATCACTATTGTCTAAAAAAGTGTTCTTTTGACAAAAATCAATAACGATTCATGATTAAAAACTCTCAGGAAAAAAATATTTGCAGCAAACTAGGAAGAGAAGTCAGCTTCATTAACTTGATAAAGAACATCTACGAAAACCTACAGCTAACGTGATACCTAACGGTGAGACACTAGAGACTTTTCCACTAAGGTTGGGAACAAGGCAGGATGTCCCTCTCATCACTACTATCCAGTATCATACTGGAAGACCTGGCTAATGCAATAAGACAATGAAAAAAAAAATGAAGGGGTATACAGAGTGAAAAGGAAGAAATAAAGCTTCCTCCAGATGAGATGATTTTCTACATAGAAATCAACAACAAAGTCCTGAAACTATTAAGTGATTATAGCAAGGTTGCTGAATACAACATCAATACACAAGTCAACTGCTTTCCTATATATCAGCAATTAACATACACGAATCCTGTACCTAGGTATTTACCCAAATGAGTTGAATGCATACATACACAAACACACACACACACACAAAACTTGCACATGAATGTTTGTAGCAGCTTTATTCATAATTGTCATAACCTGGAAATAAACATGATGTCCTTCAGTAAGTCAATGGATAAACAAACTGTGGTGGTAAGTCCAGAAGCTGGACTATTATTCAGTAATAAAAAGAAATGAGGTATCAAGCCATGAAGACATGTAGAAACTTTAAATACTAATAATAGAGGGAACTATCATGTTTGTACACCTGAAACTACTATAATGTATATACGTCAATTATGCCTAAGATTTAAAAAAAATTGGGTAAACTCTCTGTGTGCGTCTGTACATGTGTAAAGGTATATGGGACTCTATCCTTTCAGTTCAATTTTCATATAAACCTAAAATGGGTCTGAAAAACAAAGCCTACTAATTAAAAAAAGGAAAAGAAAGTGTTCTTAGTCCTTCACAAATCTCCCCTTTCTCTCTATCCAGCCTCTGGCACCAGCAACCCACCAGGATCAGGTGAAGCTCTCATCTACCTTGCAACATAATTACAGTATCTCTTTAAATTTCTCTTTTCAGAATATATGCTATGCTCTGAAAGAACAAATGAATATTTAACAGGTTTCTATTCAGCTAATGGTATCAACATCTTCTCATTTCAAAAACCAACAGTTCTTTGGCTCCTTCTTCCCCATACTAAAGCAGTAAAATTTCCCCCAAATCTGTCTTGTTTCATCCCAAGCCACAGCCACTGCAACCGCTTTAGAAAAAGTCCCATAATCTTAGAGAAGTTGTGTACTATAGATCAATTCTTAAATTATTCTTCAAACCATTAATAAAGCAACCCTTTGAATAATCATATCTTAATATTTATTATACCTGCTTCAGATGAACTCACTGAAGCAGAGTGGAAGTGTTTGCATTGTTGAACTTTATTCCACAATCAGTACTGCTGTGACAACTTTTCAGCTGTTTTTCTCCATCAAGGTTAAGTTGTTTTCAAGTATGAAATTGTTTTCAATATATTAATCAGAGGCAGGAAGAGAGTGACACGAGAGGCATCCAGGGCACAAAATTTAAGGAGGCATTCACTTATCAACTCCACACTCACATGACCCCAGAAGTGCCTACGTAAATTCTATGCCCTACATGTCCTGCTTGTCACCCCTAGTCCTAGATTTGCTATTATTTCAGTATATCTGTCAATGTCTAAAGGAAAATCTATCTTTTCTCTCTAATTTCAACTAAGTAAAAAAGTATTTTTTAGTAAGGGTACATTTTATACTTTGATTTTAAAGGGTTTAAGAAAGCATTAGTTCTACATATGTAATATTTCATCAATTACATTCAATAAGAATATCAAAATAACTATCCAGGTATGTACACGATGTCTGAAGATGTGAGGGAAGACACTCTCATTTGTTGATTAACAGAGAAAATAAACTGTCCAAATTAATTCTAAGCCTTACATGGAATTTTATACATTTAAATAACTTCAACTATTAAAATGACAATTGCATAAGCAAGAGAATCATTACTCCAAACTCTGGAAGGAAAAAACATTTCCTGGCTGAATTAATATAAGTAAACAATCTCATTTGCCTAAAGGTTTTTCCTCCCTTTTCTTTTTAAATCCTCAAACCAACAGGAAAAACAAAACAGAATTCCAAATCAAACTTAAAGCACTGACCAGAGGATTAGCATGCATATGAAACACAAAGGTATTCAAATACAAAACTTAGAATTTTAACTTCTGAAGTAAAAGAACGAATTAAAACATAATCTCTTTCAGCCTTGCTTATTAAAAGTCATTCTTACCAGATAAAGCAGAAAGGTGTGCAGCCCTGTTCCAAGCCCAACAGAAGACAAAATTCCTAAGCCTATCCAGTAGGCATACAAAAGGAACTGTTTCTCTATACGTTGCACATACTGAAAAACAAAAGGATGAGGTGAAAACAAAATCAGAATTCTTAAACAGAAATGTGGTATTTATCAACTACAATCCAAATAAAACAAACCAATTAAGTTTCCAATGGGATGAAAGCATTAAGGTTAAAAGCTCCATGAAGAGGCTTACTTCCTCTAACACGTAGTAGCAGAGATAGCAAAGAAGTTATTCTAATAGGAAAAAAGCTAATTTCTACATTTAAAAAAATCCTATTATAACAATGACATTTATAGGAAAAACGCAAATTACTGATAACTATGAGAATAAAAAATTTTAAGATACTTGAAAGTTACAAAAACTTTGTTTAAAAAAGCATAATAATATACACTGGTAAGAGCAGTTATTTATATAATGTTTGAGACCAGAATGTATTCTTATTTATCTAAGGCAAAAATGGGAATAAAATTATTTTTGTATATTGAAGACCAAGACGCTTTTCAAACAAGAGCAAACTGAAATCCACTGGGATATGGACTTGGAAGATTTCCAGACTTTAGAGTCTAGATTTTCACACTGGCAAGTAAATTCATCAAGCCAGTTCCCTGCACTCTTGATAGCATACACAGATTTCTTTAAAATATTTAAATGCATTTAAAACTATAAAAATGTCTCTGAGATTAAATTGCTTCCCTCCCTCCATTTTTAATGACATTTATCATTTTCCAGTTTTACAAGCAATATGTTTATTACAGACAACTAGAAATACATGAAAGCATAAAGCTAAAAATAACAATCACCCATAATCTCTACCCCCCAGAGATAATCACCATTAACATTTTGACGCATTTAGAGATAAACTGCTTTAAAATATGAAATGATACCATTTTAGAACCATGTCCTATTAGAAAACATTAACCTGCTATTTTAATAAAAGTCATTAACCAAATGTTCTATTTTCCCTTCAGTTATGCTGTACTTACAGATTATAGGCAAATGAACTTCCCATTTTATACATATAAAACCAAACCTTCAATCTAGGATGAGTATATCAGTTTGGATAGATAATAGGAGTGTTACAGAAAATATGAAGACTTGGGTAGTGATGAAAGGATTCATGCTGTTTTGACTAAACAGCATCAGGAAAGTTACATTTAAATCCTTAAAGGTAAAAAGGAATGATAGATACCAAATATAAATGCTGAGCATCCATGAACTTCGACAACAATAGTTTTTACTAGTTGGTCTTAAAAGTAAGACATCAAGATACTAATTAAGAGATAAATTTAAAAAAAAATCAACCAAGCCTAAAAATGTTGAGGATAAAAATTCTACGAAACGCTCAACAGTCCCATTTTGAAACTGTCTGGGATTAGGGAGGATACAAGAATAGAAACAGAGGTGCTGAACCTCTTACCTTTTGATGTGCTCCTTCAACATAATACGTAGCTGTAAGCATAGCAAGCAGCAGTAAAAAAGACACCACAATGCTCTGACGATGCCATAATCTTGAAAACAAATTTTTTAAAAATGAAATATGTCAGTCTCATTTTCAGGATTCATCACTCTCAAAACAACTTCCTGATGAAGCAGGTTATTTAACTTGGTTACAGAAATGGTTCTTTCTGGATTGAAGGTCTTTTGTTCTTAAGCACTATGGTCTCTTGGTGGTGAAGAAGGGGGTCAAGAGAAGGTACATGGGTATAGAATCTAGTTTCTTTTTAGACACCCCATCATAGCCTTTCCCTTATCCAAAGACTGATCTTGTATATACCCTAACTTCTAATTGGGACAGGCATTATAACACAATGGAAAGAGCACTGGCCTTTAGTCAGAGGACCTGGATCAGAGTCCATTAAGTATTGTGCTTTGAGTAAGACACTCAATCTGTCTGATTCTGTTTCTCATTTTTAAAATCAGAATGATCCAAAAAACAATAAAAAATCATAATTATCATATACCTGTTTTACCTTCTTCACAGAATTGCTTTAAGGATCAAATGAGCTGAAAACATTTTATAAACTCTACGTACAATAAAAATGTTAAGATATTGTCACAGATAACTTGGAAAGGTAAGCCAGAAAATGATTACGGCAAATAAAATTTCAACTTGCTCTTTATCTGAAACAGGTACAAGTACTAAATTTCAAGATAGAACACAATTTCCATGGCAGAGTCCTCTTTCACTGGTTCACACTATCAGTAAAAGTGCCACGTATCCTGAACCTTGACCTACTAAAGAATCAGTGTATTTAATGTACACAGGTCTGATTTCTCCTGTAGGTCAAGCCAGAAGAAAACAACTTCTCATTTTCAGTGTTCTCCTTTACATAGAAGAGTCGACATGAGAAAGTTGACTGTAATAATCCAGTGAGCAAATAGAAATATGTTCCCCTAACCTAGTTTTCTTCAAACTATACAGAGAAAGGAAAATAAATGCTTCTATAACATTCTAAATGTAATTAATCCATTTTGGCAGAGCAGGGAGGAGATTGTTGAAGATTTCTAAAATTAGTAAATTAGGTTTATATAAAAAGTAATGGAAGATTCTTTACTTTGAGGTCCATTCCTTCAAGATTACTAGGATTTCCAGAGAAAAATACTGCAAGGTAACGAGTGGCTGTCTCCACAGGACAATATTCTGCCTTTCTTCCCGATCCCTCCTTTTCTTTTCACTCAGCGAAGAGGAATCTGAAAAAGATTAGTGCAGAGGTTAAAACAGAATGCTCACTTTTCCCAATCACTTTCAAAATTCACTTACCTCCCCATTCCACATTTGAAGGACTGCATATAAACCTCAAAAAACAAATAATGTTGTTCACATTGTGACAAGTCTAGGCTAGGTCCTGCTGTTCTACTCTTTAGTTCTGCAATTATTTTGTCATCAGGACACAAGTTCTTCTTGTACATTACTGAAATACTAAATTAGCCCACTTTCTATGAAGGGCAATTTAGCATCGTATCATAGAGCAAACTGGTTTAGAGCTCAAAACGTGAAGGCAAACTATTTGGTTTCAAATCCTGGCTTTGCCATCTACTAGTCAGGTGACCTTGGGCAAGTTAGCTAACCTTTCTATGCCTTAGTTTTCTCTTCTTTAAAACAAAGATAAAAATACTACTTACTTTTTAGAGTTTTGTAAAGATAACTGAGTTAATATAAGAATGTATACGTGCAATTAAGGTTAGTTATTATTGGTAGTAATGATAACTCTCTAAGCATCATCTCTTGAAATTACAAATGCATATACCCTGTCACCCAATAATTCCATTTCTAAGAATCATTAGGTATAAGGGGAAATGACTTTTGTACAAGTTTATTCAATGCAGTGTTATTTGTTCTAGTAAAAGATTATGAACAACTTAAATTTATGAATACAGGACAGAGGAGTGATTAAAATATGATACACTCAGACAATGGAATACTAAGCAGCCGTAATAAAGAATAAGATCTTCATGTACAATCTCTAGGAAATATTAAGGAAAAAACCCTAAACAAACACACACCATGGTACAGAAGAGTAAGTGTGCCATACTAACATTAATTTTAAATTCCAAGGGAGTGGGAAGGAGGGAAAGAATATATAAATGTATGTGCTTGCTAAAAGAAAGGTAAGAAAAAATAACATGCATAAGCTCCTAATGGGAAGAGACTATGATATATGCAATGCCTATCTCTGAATCCTGAAACTCTTAGTAAAATGATGCAAAACTTCTGACAGCTAAAGTAACCCAAAAGTCAAAAATTCTGCAAAATGTGTTCTGCAAGGCAATGTGGTAATCAAACAAGTGGAAACTATTATTTCAGATAGCTTGTGGTTCCTCCAATGCAAGAAAATTTCTATGATATAATATTGCTACGCTGAAGTATTATTTGCAATGTGTTTTAGATGCCAAATGATTTAGAAGTTAAAAAGAAAACTACTACAATGAACAAAAAAGGAAAACCTTTCCTTTTCCTTTGTACATATAAAGCAAAGTTCCTACTTAAATCCTCTATATAAATGAAAGCTATAATTTTCCGGGTAAATGTATGAATAAGAGACAAATATACTGAAATTTACCACAAATTCCAAATTCAGTTAAAAGATAAATTTGTCTTACACTAAAATTTAAAAATAAATCCACAATAATCACATTCTGACTTTTTGGATAATTACATAATTAGGATTAGCATAATAAGTAAATTTATAATCTAATTCTAAAGTTATAAAATAGCATGATAAAACTGAGCACCAAATAAAGCCAAATTATTACTTCTTAATCTTGTGGTGCAATAAATATTTACCTTGCACCTAGAATACTGCTGATGTAACTATGGCCAGGCTGCCTCTGCTATCACTGTGGAAAACCACTTATAGGCCCTATATACCCATAATTTAATTTACTATGAAGAGTAAACAAATGATAACTAATCTTTTACAAGATACATATGAATTTTACGTATCTTGTATTATTATATATTATTTTATTAACAAAAGATAATAAATATTATATATAATCTATTTCTATTTTACTCCAATGAGAAGGATAACCCATAGATCTGCTCCCTCTAAACCACCATACTTCACCTGTGAAGTTTCCATTATATTGTTCCTTGTTCATTGCTACACGTCTCTGGTCACAATTTTTTCCATTCTCTGCCATTTCATAGATCAGTAACTCTTGAGGAGCTAAGAAAACAAAATAAAGTCCAGGGGTACGTTACATACTTCTGCTCTGCATTTATGACTGAATAACGCTGAATACAGAAACAACATGGCAGTACTACCACCCGGGCTGTTTCAATAATATATTTACACCTTAAATTTCTCTTTCATAATCAAGGTTTAATTATTTGTAAAGAAACTGTAACAGAAGTAGTAAAAACATAAAAGCCATTTTAAAATATAAAAGCCATGTTGTTGTAAACCTTTTCCAAACAGTTATTCCAGCAATTTTCCAGATTAAAATTTGGAGGTAGTTTGTCCACAGAAGGATATTAAGTACTAGTACCTTCAAATATTGATAACCTATAAGATCTAGAGTCATTTTGATTCATAACTTAATATCATACACATTAGCTACTCAAATTTAACAAATTTTTCAGTCCTTCTAGCATTAGAAAAAAATTGGTATTACCAAATATGTCAAAAATGCTAACATACAGATCCAAGGTCAATTTTATTCATGCAACAACTCTATCTAAAAAATTAATGATATGGGCATAGAAGATGAAAATTTTAAATGTTTAATGTATATTAAATAGGTACTCTTTATAGCATGCTTCACATTACAGGTATAGGTGTAAATTTTTACTTTAAGTCCCTGTATTACAACATATAAATTGTGCTGACATAATTATTCTACATAAAAACACAGATTACCTGTGCCTATATCACTCAGATGTTAGTAAAGCAAATCTTTCTACTCAGAAAGCATATCACTCCAACAAAGTCTCAGTGCTGAGTCCTCTGCTTGTGCTGAGTCCTGCTAGACTTATATTCAGCTGATTAGACTATGATGTGGTCATGAGTTCAATCTTCCTACAGTTCATTAGTTTGAGCTACTTCATTCCCTGACTAAAATTCTAACCATAATTACTATTCCCAAAAGGTATGCCTCATAAAGGAAATAAGTGAAAGGCTGTAAAGACTCAGAAAAGAGCATACACTCATCACTCCAACAGAAGGTCTTTTCTTTTAGACACAATCCACTTGGGGACAATGTGAACCAATGAACGTATCAGGAAATAAAGTATAGGTTTCCATCAGCACAGATGGACAGCCTGGAGCAGATGACTGAAAGTCTAAAATCTGGATATGCAGACCAGATTTGCCACTAACTAGTTGTGTGATCTTAAGCAAGTCTCATTTCTTTCTAGATCTTGATTTTCTGGATCTATAAAATGAGGACAAAAACTCTCACTTCCACAGGATCGATGAGGATGAAGGTGTGTGATTGGGCATGCATGCGTGTATATAACTATAAACGGCAATACATCAAAAGGGTAGGAGCTATATGAAGCAGTTAATCTAGAAACTCTCTATACCACTTTATATAACACACGACTCACTGCTACCATCAGTGACGTCAGTGTCTTTCATTCAACACTAATTAAAAAAGTTCTGGGGTCTATAACAGGCACTGAAAGTATAAATACAAATAAGACAAGATCTTTGTCCTCCAGACGGTCAGAGTCCGGCAGGGAAGCCAGATGAGTACAAGACTTCAATTATAATATAATACAATGAAAGAGACACAAAGTAAATAACTTACTGGGAAAAACCAGCTTTTAGAATCTAGCAGAACTGGATTCAAATCCAAACTTCACAAGTATTTATTCTGACCTTGGGCAAGTTTCTAAATCTTTCTAAACATCAGTTTCTTTCATTTGCAAAATATAGACAACATGACACACATTAAAGGGTTACTATGAGGATTAAAGCAGGTATTGTATATAAAATACCAATATATTATCTCACCTTTTGTATGAACTCAATATATAGTAGTTATAATGATGATGAGGAAGAAAGCACAGGAGAAAATATGGGAGCTCAGAGGGCAATACATTTAAAGGAGTCAAAGAAGCTGAAAATTGATTCTGCAAACTTAGACAAGCAATTACCAAAAAAAGGAAAGATGAAGATATTTTGTGAAAATCTGTAAAATCAAAGCATCACAATAGGTTCACACAATGTGAATCGGTTCCACAAATCAAGCTTTCTGGATTTTAATAATAAAATTAACGAAAGATGTCTGAAATGGACCATATAATAAAGCAAAGATTTTCCATCTTTCAATCATTCAACTTGAAGCCATAGTTAAGTTCTATAAATACTTAAAACTGTGTGAACTCATATTCAGCCAAATTCTATGGGTAATTCATTTTAGAGATAAAAAGACTTTCATCTGCATCATAACAAATAACATTTAATTAATTTGTAGTAAAAAGATAACGCATAAAAGGCCTTCTGTGTTTCGAAGAAAACATTCTAAAACCTTTCCCCCTGAAAAACAATGATAACTGAGTTTATTTCCCCAGTATTACCCTTTCCCATAGTATCATCTGTAAGAGTTTTATCTAAAACTTGGGTCTGTTTAAGTTCTTACTTATAACAATGGTGTTACACAATTATTCAAAGATGTTTTTAAAGCTGTTTCAACAGGAATTTTTATTTGAGCAAATGTGTCCTTACACAGTATGCTTTTTAAAAAAAGGTCTACTGACATTTCCTACTCAAAAAATTTTCAAAAAAAAATTCTCTAGAAAAAAAATAGTCTGGAATCTCATTTTTAAAGAAATAACCTACGAGACTAAGTTATCTTCTTTTAATCAGTCTACTTCTTTATAAACAAAATAAATTCACAGTTTAAAAAAACAACTGTGATTTTTCCGGTCAAGATGCTGGAATAGTAGGAACACGCTCGCCTCTTCTCGTGACTACAGCAAAACCACAACTGACTGCTAAACAACCATGGTGAGGGGGTGAGGCTGGCACCTAGCAAAAAAGATCTTCTTCAACTGGAAACAGAAAGAGGGAACCACAGCAGGATGGTAGGAGGGGAGGGGCGTGCTCGCTATATATTCGGGCCCTATACCCCGCTGGTGGGCAACCCACAAGCTGGAGAAAAATTAAATTGCAGAGGCCCTCTCACAGGAGTGAGAGTTCTGAGCCCCACGTCAGGCTCCCCAGCCCGGGGCTCTGGCATGGGGAGGAGGAGGAGACCCCAGGACACCTGGTTTTGAAGGCCAGTGTGGCTTAACTCCAGGAGCCCCACGGGACTGGGGGAAGCAGAGACTCCATTCGCTTGGGAAGCCTGCACAGAATCTAGTGTGCGCCAGGTCCAAGGGCAGAGGCAGTGATTTCATAGGAACCTGGGCCAGACCTACCTGCTAGTTTTGGAGGGTCTCCTGGGGGTGCAGGGGATGGCTGTAGCTCACCCAGGAGACTTAAAAGCTGGTGGTGGACATTCCAGGAGTTTTCATCTACATGAGCTTTTCTGGAAGCTGACATCTTGATTGGATCATTAGCACCAAGACCCAGCCCCACCCAACAGCTGTAGGCTTAATGGCTGGGAAGCCTCAGGCCAAACAACCTACAGGATGGGAACACAGCCCCACCCATCAGTAGACTTTCTGAGCTGTGGACCGACTCCTCCTGCCAGGAAACCTGCATAAGCCTAGTCCAGCCTCATCCACCAGGGGCCAGGTACCAGAAATAAGAAAACAACAATCCCAAAGCCTGTGGAAAGAATCCACAAACACAGGCCAGACTCTACACTGGGACTGGCTGGACCCTGAGCCTTGGGTGACAAAAGAGGAGTGTACTGCTGGGACAGAGGACTGCCATTTTGACAGGTGTGAGATGATAGCTCACTGTGATTTTGATTTGTTTCCCTGATACTGGTGATGTTGAGCAACTTTTCATGTTCCTCTTGGACATCTGCATTTCCTCTTTTGGAAAAGTGTCAGTGCAGTTCTGCCCATATTTTAAATGGGTTGTTTCTTTGCTTTTTAAACTAAAGTACAGTTGATTTAAAATGTATTAGTTTCTGGTGTACAGCATGGATGGATTCGGAGGGCATTATGCTAAATGAAATAAGTCAGACAGAAAAACAAATAATGTAAGGTATCGCTTACATGTGGAATCTAAAAAATACAACAAACTAGTGAATATAACAGAAAAGAAACAGACTCACAGATATAGAGAAGGAACTTAGTGGTTACCAGTGGGAGAGGGTAGGGGGAGGGGCAAGATGGAGGTGGAGGATTAAGAGGTACAAGCTATCAAGTATAAAATAAGCTACAGGGATGTAATGCACAACATGGGAAATATAGCCAATATCTTATAATAACTATAAGTGGAGTATAACCTTTAAAAATTGTGAATTATATTGTATATCTGTAACATATAACATTGTACATCAATTATACTTCAATTTTAAAACTATGACATTGTAAAATAAAAGAAACCTAAACAAAAAACTTTTGAAAAACTTTTATCATTCCCAACAGAACTATAATATAAAGCCAAAAATGTAACGAATCACTTGTGTCCTAAATAGTTAAGCTTATAAAAGCATAAAAACTTTTTGGCATTTTAACCATTTTCCAAAATATCTTACACAAATTCCTTGTCTTTTAAAATTCCCCTAAAAATATTCTCCATTCCTTTGTCCCTATCTTCCTCAGTCCCATATATACTTTGCAAAACTGCGATGCTCCCGGAACAACCTGCATTTTTATAGAATGACTGATTAGCTGAACAAAGCTGGAGAAAAATCACACACTCGCACAGTCACTTTCATTTCACTTATTCATTAAACAGATATTTATCAAGTACTCATCATGTGACAATTATTTGAGATGCCAAATCTCAAACCTCAAATTGATGCTCATTCTTACTAATACTTTTTTTCACTCTCATACTTTCATTCCTTGTTCTTTCTTCTCAAACTTTTCCCCTCCGTACTCTCAGGCATTTACTTTCTTTCTTTGTTTTTTTTTTTTAAATCAAGAAAGCAGAGGGAGAATTCCCCAAATCTTTCTACCACTAAATCTACTCAATTATCTATACCTTCAGCCATGTTAGCATTCTTCCTCTCTTTACGACAGGGGCAGCGTCCTCTACCAGCAAAGGCTATCACATCAATATACATTTTGTATATCCTCACTTACCCTCTCAGGGAC